GCTATCAGTGCTGCCAATAAAGCAACATCTGTTTATAAACAACTTGTTTATTTGTTTATGGTGGTAGCTGCTAGCTTAGGGAAGCAATTGGAACATTTAGCAGAAAAGGATCTCAGCCGAGATTTTATTTATAAACCTAACAACACAAATGTAACACTGCTGCTTTCATGTATACAGATGTGATGACTAAATTCATTTCATTTTATTAAGCTTTCTCCTTTATTTCCACCTGGTGATCCTGCCAGTAATACACTTCCTGTCTCAGGCCCCGTTCACACCAGGGCGGTTCGGTCGTGTGGATTAGTCCGCGCTGAACCGCCAACATGAACAATCCCATATATTCCTATGGGGACCTGTCATGATCAACAGGCATTTTTCCCATTATTTGAACAGATATGCCAAAACACTTTCAATCGAATATTTAGCAGACTAAAAGGGAGGAAATAAGATAAGTTATTTGGTAAGGATTAAATATAGTATGGCAATCAGCCATAACATTATGACCACTTGCTGAATATTGAATAGCCACCTATTGGCCTGACCCATGGAGACATGGACCCCACTAGACCTCTGAAGCTATGCTGTGGTATCTGGCACCAAGCTGTCAGTAGCAGATCCTTTAAGTCCTGTAAGCTGTGAGGGTGGGCCTCCATGAATCAGACTTGCTTTTCAAGCACACCCCACAGATGCTCATTTAGATTGACATTTGGAGGCCAAGTCAACACTTCAAACTCGTTGTTGTATTTCTAAAACCATTCTTGAACTATTTTTGCAGTGTGGCAGAGCGCAGAGACCACTGCCATCACAGAATACCATTTCCATGAAGGGGTATACTTGGTCAGCAACAATGTTTAGGTAGGAGGTGCGTGTGAAAAAGTAACATACACATGAACCCAAGGTTTACCAGCAGAACATTGCCCAAAGCATCACACTGCCTCTGATGGCTTGCCTTCTTCCCATAGAGCGTCCTGGTGCCATCTCTTCCCCAGGTAAGCAACACTTAAGCACCAGCTATCTACATGATGTAAAAGAAAATGTGATTCACCAGACCAGGCCATCTTCTACCATTGCTCCGTGGTCCAGCTCTGACGCTCACGTGCCCATTGTAGGTGCTTTTTGCGGTGGACATAGGTCAGCATGGGCACCCTGACCGGTCTGCTGCTACACAGCCCGACGCACAACAAACTGCAATGCACTGTGTGTTCAGACATCTGTCTATCAGAACCAACTTTAACATTTTCAGCAGTTTGAGCTCTTCCATTGGATCGGACAACATGTGCCAGCCTTTACTCCCCACATGCATCAATGATCCGGTTCATCAGTTTTCCTTCCTCGGACCACTTTCGGGAGATCCAGACCCCTGCAAACCAGGAACATCCCACAAGAGCTGCAATTTTGGAGTTGCTCTCACCCTATCATCCAGCCATCACAATTTGGCCCTTGTGAAAGACGCTTACATTTTTACGCCCATTTTTTCTGCTGCTAAAACATAAACTACTGGGACAAAATGTTCACTTGCTGCCAAATATATCCCACCCACTTCCAGGTGCCATTGTAACCAGATAAAAAAATGTTATTCACCTCTCAGTTGTCAAAATGTTATGGCTGATCAGTGCACACTTTACAGCCATATTACCATTTTTTAGATTCCAGCTATCATTTTGAGTTTGCTCAGATTAGATGCTTGCCATGATATGTACAAGACACTGTGTCTGGAAAACACTAAACCACTAGCACTAAGCCATAAGCACAGTCTTGCTTAACTGGAAAACCAGTTAATCCAGGTTCTGTAATCTTGACATTTAAAGGGTGTCAAGACACACAGGAACACCATTTCTAAGGTATTGTAATCCCCATGGGCTCAGAGCTGGATTTACTCTCTCTGCTGCCCCAAAGCCAGGTTCCTCTATGCCCCCCAATGGAGAATGGCAACCAGATGGTGGGGGCAGCAGGGTTAGTTTTAATTTTTTTTTCCTTTTATTTTTTAAATTTTCTATTTATTTCTTTTACTTTTTTAAATTTTTTATTTATCTTATCTTTTACTTTTTTTTGTAATTTTTTAATCTTATTTATAATTTTTTCATCACCTTTTTTTATATTTTAATTATTTATTTTCTTAATTTTTATTTATTTTATTATTTTTATTTTTTTAATTCAATTTTTTATTTTCTTTCACAACTTTATTGCTATCACACATGAGCTAACAAGCCCCTGTGTGATAGCATTTGGAGGCGGCAGGTTCTCTTTATTGAACCTGTCACCTCCAATACAGGCGTTCTAGTACAGCACTGTGCTGGAACTCCTGTGACAGCTGAGATGGGAAGGCTGTGAGTGGAGCTCTCCCGTCTCAGTGTTCACACAGAGTGGAGAACGGACATCCTCCGCTCTGCTACCCGCTCTCCATCCTGAAGAGAGGATCTCCGGCCGGTGGGGCCGAGGCCCGGCTGCCGGAACTTCATGTCCCGGGTGTCGGGCCGATAGAAGTCCCTGCCGCCCGGTTGGCTTTGTGACAAATCCAGCCTTGCTTGGGCTTTTATATTTGTAACCACTAAGCACATGATTTTGCATAGCCAGTACATTGAAATGCAATTTAACTTTCAAAGACAAATTGCTAGTGGGCACAGTGTTTTTTTACTGGACACTGCCTGCTATTCAATCACAGTGTAGTGCACATTCTTGGAGTGGAGTCTAGTGCCAGAATAATGCACCTCCATTGCAAAAGCGTGAGAGTTGAATCCTCTCCGGCCACCCTATGCTGGTAAATAACTTAGAATGGATGCTGCTCTTTGATGTTTAAAAGTTTTAGTTTCCTGCAGTATAAGCTGGTTGCCTGAGCTCTGGCATTTTAGGGTGGCTCCTTTCCCATGCAGGTCTCATGGAGCTACCATTGTGTGTGCTAGTAAGCTGTGTGTGTCTCCGCATACAGGCACAGCAAGGCATTCCATTCCCTTTTCCCCCTACTTGCCTCCCTTCCTTCTTCCTTTGGTGGACATCTGTTGGAGGTTGTGCTCTCCCTTGTGATTTTGTACTGGACAGGAAGTTCAGGGAAGCTGAGCGGAGAGAGTTGGAGCTGTTTGGAAACATTATGATTGTAAGTGCTTGGGCAAAAATGTAAAGAAATACTTTCCTGAATGATGTATATTTGGTTGATCTGATTTCGTTATTGAGAGTTTAATACTACTTTAAGTGGTGGTAAATGTAGGGGGTGTCCTTTCTTTTTCCATATGACAAATCTGCCCTTTCCTTTATTTTGATTAGGAGAATAAGAATATATAATGTCAATTTTATTTGTCATTTGTTCACGTATATCACCTTTTATCTGTAGGCCCTGACTGAATGAAAATCTAATGTTTGCCTATTCAAATATGTTATACAATTCAACAATTCCCATGTAGTGTACTTACTTTTTCTCATGACTATGAGTATCTACAAATCCTTCTGCACAACAGCGCTTTTTCTTTATCCGTAGCAACTACCTAGATTCTTTTTATATGCTCCAAGAAAAGCAACAGCTGGATTGGTTCTTATTGGCAACACAATCACTTGGTTTCTTGAATTCATAAGTCAGCCTTATTGTGATTTCATCTAACACATTCTTTTCCTTTTCAGCTAGGCTGCTACAGTATACAACAACGGATTCTTCCACTTTTAATGAATAGCCAATTGTTTGAACATTTTGTATGTGGTATGATGTTCGGTTGACCGTGCTGTTAATAATCAGCCACAAGTGTATGTGATTTACTCTGCCAAATGACTAGGCTGCAGAACAATGTAATGATGGGTTCACAGTATTAAAAGACGAGTACTGTTCTTTAGCTTTTAAAAAGAACAAGGGATAGGAATAACTTTCATCAAGTAACTCTAACATTTATAAATATATTTTTAAAGTGACATTAAAGTCAAAAGTCCCCCCCACAATGCTAATGTAAAGATTTACCTTAAATGATGTTTCTTAATCCTATCTTCTTCTTCTTTCCTGTACTTTTCAGCTGTCCCTCCAGCGCTGGTGCGGGTCTCAGATCCAGCGCTGACTCCTCTGTCCTCCTCTTCTCTGCTGTCCCACTGTCTCTGTGCGGATGCACTCTGCTCCATAGGCTTACCTTGTGTCTCCCCTCGTCTCCTGGCCGAACATCTGAACTGCGCATGCGCCCGCCCCAAGATCCTTTGCAGCCACCCGAGACTCTTTAGATGTTCGGACGGGAGCGCGCGGCGAAGACACAGGTAAGTTTAAACCTGTTTGAAAAGGTGTTTTTAAAAAAAACGTTTTTGCATATATCTACTGCTTGCTATCAGTAGATATATGCAATAAAACTTGAGTGTTTTAATAACCTTTTAACATATTTCCTTACCTTTCTGCTGTGCCTATATTAGGTCAGGGGTATTGTAATCTCTACACCCGAAGTCCACCTAAAACTGTTGTCTAGTTTTCAGTGACTTCAGCTGATTGAATAACCTACTTACCATTTTGTTCTTTAAGATCTCAGCCACAAGAGCTCCTTTTGTACCCATGGCCATCAAATATTGCTCACCCTTAAAGTGTAACTGAAGTCACAACTTTTTTTTTTTTACTTTGAGTAGAGTGGAGAGGGATTAGAAGACTTGTCAGTTTTTTATTGCTGTTTGTGTCCCAGTTAGAGAGATTCACCCTCTCTATTTATCCTTGTGACCCTTATCACTATAAGTGAAAGGAAATTCCAAATTTTGGGTTGTCATCAGGACAGGAATAGATTAGAAATCTTCCAATGGGGACACTAGTTCTGGTGACTCTTTGAGGGAATTTCCTCTCACTTTAGTTGTGGCTATCTGACAGGAAGTGAAGGAAAATCTTCTTCTCCCCAGCTGAAGGAAAATGTCCTAATTTATATTGCAGAATTGCAATTGGAAACTTGACTGGTTGCTATGGCTGGAAGACTTTGCTTTAGAACACTTTCATATCTGAATAATATCTGATTATTTATCTTTATTTACAGAACTGCCTAAAATTAATTGTGGAAGCAACAATGTCCCCAGCTCCTACAGAAACAGCGACTGAAAAGACAAGGGTTCACTTCTCTCCTCGTCTCGGTTTAAAGAGCCTGGGCGCTAGTGCTGATTTGTGCTTGACTGATCTGAAACCCATGGAGCAAACCAATGTATGTAAAGGCAATAACTCAATTGTATTGCATACCGGCACTGAACGCTACCTTCAGAAAAACTTTATAAATCCACAAGCTGATTGTCCTTCCTCGCCACCATATAAATCGTATTTTTTTCTATCAGATTCTGGATTGAATGTTCAAAATAAGGACAGTTCCAAGAATACGATAGAGAAAGACAACTGCAGACAGATGTTTTATACAAATGCAGACACTCGCCCACTCTACGCTAAAAAGAAAGTTAAGAGGGCACTTTTCCCAGGAACCGTAAGCCAGGTTTTAGCAGATGTGAACAAACTTTGGGACCTGTCTGTGATTGAGGCTGAAGACATGCATGGATTGTGTGGTCCAAAATATAGGTTGAATGGAAGAATAGAGGGGGAATGTCTTTCCATACCACTTGCTAGCAATTATACTTTACCAGATTTAACAGACCTGGAAAAGAGACCACGGACGCTACTAAATAAGGAATGTAATGCCAAATCATCTTTTATGAGATGTCTAAATCGACAGCAAGTCCTTGCAAATCGTGCAAAAAGAAATAAGAAGCGTTTGCAGCTGTTGTTGACAAGCCATGTTGCAGAACATTGCAAACAACAGATAAGTAACTTTGTGAGTTATCAGACCAGAAAAGCAAATGTGAGCAGTACTCCTAAAGATCAGCTAAGTAATGATACTAAGATAAATCACAATGCTGGAGACCAATCAAACATCACCAGTGATACATGCATCCATCGGAAAAAACAAGACCTTGAGAGTCTTCAAAGTCCATCTGAAGTGGGGACATTTTCTGCATTTATGCCAGGGATTTTAACTTCTTTTGAGCGGCAGTTGGATTCCGATGCTACAGAAAGCAGTTCTGATGAAGACTGGGATGAGAAGGCTGACCAAATATATAACTGGTGAGTAAGAGGTAAAATGTTTTAATACAATAAAGAAAATTATGCACAAGCAACATTATAAATTCATTCAAATTCATTATAAAAAAAAGGTATAACATATCTGCTTTGAAGTTTTAGACTTTAATACAGCTTTTAACCCGCGGGGGCACGGTAGGCGATATGCGAGGTTGCAAAATTTAGTTCCAGTGAAAGAAGGGTTGCGGGAGGAGCCTCAGGCTGGAAATATTTAAAGGAAATCTCCACGTTTGTTAAATGTTTAAATTTACTTAGATGGGCCATTTTATACCATAATCTTATAAATATTACCTTTCTACTTCAATCTGTAACCATTTGATGTTTCTACAATTAGTTACATATATCAACAAATATATGAAGAAGATGCATGCATCTTTGCTGAAAAAAATAGCAGTTGCTGAGCATCCTTCTACAAATGCTAGTTGCTTGGCTGTCTTGCTAATTGGATGGCTTCAGTACCTTTTGAGGCACTGATCCAGGAAAAGTGAGTGCAGAAGTCATTGTTTAGATTGGCGACTTAGGTAAATATTAAAACAACTGGATCGGCATGATAGCCTCACAACTAGAATTTTCAGAAGTTGGGGTCAGGAATGGCAGCTGACGTATAGGGGCAGTGATCTGATAGGAACCTCACCACTAAGGGTCAGAGACGTTTTAGCTGCACAGTTTAGTCAAATTGTATGGATTCAATAGCATTTAACTAGCCAACTGACACTTGCAAAGTGTAGGTTTAGAAAGTATTACACTCTGTAAGAAGACTAGAGGAACTCCCATAAGCTAACATAGGGTGGTGCCCTCTCTAGCAATGCCTTCTTGAAGCATCTACTCTCAAACAAAATGTGTACTAGAATTCCAGCTTCAAAAGGCCCTGTTTAAAGTGTCAAACTCCAGCACCCCCTGTTCCCAGCAGCTACACTATTACCATAACTGATTTTGTGAATATCTATCGCCCTTTTGCTCAGATCATACAGTCTGTAGTGGCTAGTGTCCTGAATATCAGGATGGTTCCATGATGCAAAGGCTGCTTGTTTTTGCTTGGGCCATTGCTAGAATGACTGAATCAAAAAACATTTGAAATGTGTCATGTTGACCTACCCTTCCTAACATCTCTGTCCCCATTGTTCCCCACCATCTCCCCTCTGTGACCTACATAACGTTTTTAAAAGCTGCCCACTACTGGCAGTAGATTACGGTGCACCAGGTGTCTGGATTCTATGCTTATGTTCCACTCAAATTCAATGCATAGACTTTTACTCAAGGAATGTGACTAATCAATGCCCGCTTCTAATTGGCTGAGAGAGCAGACCAATCAGGGGTTGGTATTAATCAGCCACATGCCTTGAAGAGGGGTCTGTGCCTTGAACTTCAGAGCCAGAAAGAAGGCTAGAACAGAGATACTTGTTCCATCATAAGTTGGCAATATATAGGAGGGGGCTAGGGTACAGAGATGGGATGTTTCTTCTAAATGTGTTGTTTCTTCAGTCATAGGGGATCCAGTGATTCAGTACCTTTTATTCTTTTTGCTGCATTCATAAAAAAACAATATGCTATTACAAACCTTAAATGCAGCCAATATCTGCTTCCTATGGCCTCAATCTCTACTTGGTGTTTCATCCTGTGTCGAAATAGGTGCCTCTGGCAGATTACACAGGTAGAGTGCAGTATACCTGTACTTTAAGGAGACTTGTCAGGTCTCTAAAGAAATGAAAATAGCAGTTCCCAGTAATAGATGAGGTAGTATATTCGCCTCTCTGGCCCCTCCATATTCAGCAGTGCATCCTCTGTCATTTCCAAGTGTGCCAGAAGCCTATGTCTCAGTCTGTCAATTGTGGTTCCATTCTCTGACCCCCTAGGTCACTACTGAGTACTGTAGTAACTTAGAGGTGGGGCGAAGGAACCACAGCAAGCTGATGGGGACATAGGCATCCAAAACTTCCAGAAATGTTGAATGCTGAAGAGACTGGTGGAAGCTACAGGGTTGTACGGAGCAGAGATAGGACACACAGGCTCCTGTACTACCTCTTCACCCTCTTCACTTACCCCAGGAATGTTAAACTCAGATTAAAGTTGCCAAATTGAGAGGACTATATCTTTAAGGGGGCTGCAGTGGCGTAACCAGAGTTATGGGCGCCCGGGGCACATTTTTTTCCCCGCCCCCTTCCCATTATATAAACATCCACTGGAACTGTACCCCGCACACCACACACCCACATGTTTTAATTTTATTGTTTTAAATTCATATTTTATTTTTATTTTTTATAAACTTTATTTTTTTATATGATTGAGAACACAGAGTCCTCAATTTCTTTTTCTGTGTCCCCTTTTATCAATGAACAGGAATACTTTGAGTGTTCCTGTTCATTGATAACATAGTATGTTTACTATAACCACAACTATGGATGAATAGGAGGTGATGTAGCTCACTCCCATTCATTCATAATTGAGGATATAGTAAACATGCCATGTCCTCAATTATCTACAAACACTCAGCGATCACTGCTCGCTGAGTATTTGTATCTTGCTCTCCTCTCTGACACGCTGTCACAGGAGGCTGAGCCAGCAGAGCAGGGAGGAGAGCCCAGCCTCCTGTGACAGTGTGGGCTGTCTCCGCCCCACACGGCTCTCCTGCACTGTGATAGGCGGCTGAGTAAAAAGACTACGGCACTTTCTAAGTTACCAATATAGTAAATAATGCAATTTACCATATTTCATCCCAGATGTAAAGCTGTGTAGGGAAGTTTAACTTCTCAACCAGAGATCAGCTGGGGTAATTTTTTTTTTAAAATCCTTAAACCACTGAGGGCCACAGAGAAGGAGCAATAGGAACACATGTGGCCCACAGAACAGTATGACATGCCCGTTCTACAATTTAAAAAAAAAACCTGATAGGGGTCTTTTAATGCATTTTCAATATACTTTTCTATTTTTAGATATGCAGCTTAATAAAAAATGGAATTGTATATGTAGCATCTATACATTTTTCCAGGCTATCTGTATGTTTGTATGTTTTGATGGCATTATATCCATTCACCCCGGTTCTGTTTTATTGAAATAAATAGAAAGTAAGCAGACAAAGCGCTTTTGGTGTTTTTAATGGAGACGTGTACAGACTCATTTCAGCCGGGCAAAGAATGCAGAGATCCAGGGAATGTGGCGTTGGATGAAAGGGTTTCCATGTTATGCAGAATCAGTAATAACTGTATCTTTCCAAAAGTACAACCCCATGCCTGATAAATCCAGTTCTAGCATGCTGTAGTTAAATAAGGAGTATTGATTTATTTTTGAACAGTACATTCTCACTCTATTTGGGTGTAGGTGAAGGAATACAGATGGGAAATAATAAAACCTGTAAAAAAAAAAATGCTGCTTTCTAATTTCAGTTAAACTAGAAGAGTGTTTGGCACAGCTTGTGCCAGTTTCTGCAGCTCAGTCCTATTTATAGCATTTTGTTTACCATTCTTGCCACCTGTTGATTTTCTGTGATAATTGAATGGAAACCCGTACCAAGGAAGTATGAAAGCTACCTTTTGTGGTCTTGTCCTTTTGTAAATATCAGATACCTTCCTGTCATGCCGATCCAGTGCTTTTAGTAGATTCTGGATCTCCAGCCTGGAACAGGTTTGCAGATCCCCTTTGAAGACTTTACTTGGACTTTTATGATTTCTCTGCTTTTTCCAGTTGAGTGCTTCAGAAAATATTGACAACAGAAGCTCCAGGCAACTAGAGGAATAAATAGGCACTCACTATTTTCTTCTGAAAATACTAAGTACAGGTTTCCTTTAAAGCGACCCCATCAGGTCTTTAAAAAATTCCCAGCTTTGGGTCCCTGTAATAGAGGTATATAGATCATAGCAGTATAAACTCTAGGTTTTTCATGAGTGTTGGATACCTGTGTCACCCACTGCTTGCAAAGGTTCCTTCCTCCTCCATCCTTCCACCCCTAATGACTCTACAGGGCCCAGCAGTTGCATATGGGTAGGAGGATGGAGTTGTGGTGCACAGCAGATCACACTCTTCAATGGTGAAGAGTCTTATGAAGGCTGTGGTGCTGGAACAGAGGGAATGTAGGAGTCACACTGGCTCTGAGAAAGGTGCAAATCATACCACTTCTATTACTATTTCATAGTTAGATCTACTATACTACTGTATTTTTGTGAGTAGGCTAATTCAACGTAGGATTTTTCGAGCAGTCTGCTTTGCAAGTTTCATAATGGTAAGGAACCAGGGGAAGAGATATTTATGACAAGGTACGACAAGGTTCTTGGTTTCCAGCTACTTCAATGTAATCATGGCTGCAAATGCACATGCATGTGCAAACATGTGTGTACAATTCTAAAAAGTGTACAATTAATAAATTATAGCTACACTCCAGACAGTCTGCTTGATTACAGCTGAAACATGTATACGTCCTGTCTTTCCTGGGGAAGAATTTGTGATCCAGATAGTCTTAAACCTATTGCAGACTCAACTGCACTAAAATTAGCCTACTCCAAGACTCACCCCATGTGTGTAATATCAGACAATTAAAGTGACACTAAACTCGAGAGTTTAATCTTAAAAATGCATGCAGGTACCTCAACTAGTTATAAAAATGTATCTTATTTATATACGACTTGGCTGTAGATCCTCAAATCATCTCTAAATTGGTGCTGATACTGTCCTTCCTTATGTAGCCACAGCTCCAAGCTCGTTCTATTGGTGGCCTACAATCTCGTGTTTAGTTCACTAATTTGTATTGAGTTTGTAGTTCATCATGAAAGCGAGCTTGGAGTGGTGGCTACTTTATAACACACACAGGGACCATGGGGAAGAAAAGTAGCCACCACTCCAGAAGGAAGGACAGTGTCAGCACCAATCCGAAGATGATTTGAGAATCTACAGCTGAGTGATACACAAAAAAGATACATTTCTGTTAATAGTTAAGGTACCTGAATTCATTTTTAAGATTTAACTCCTGAGTTTAGTGTTACTTTAAGGAGCAACAG